AGCACATTTACAATTACTACATCATCATACAAAGATGATCCAAAAACATTTCATTTTCAAACAAGAAATGCAGAGGAACGAGAACGTTGGATTCGTGCTTTAGAAGACACTATATTACGTCATTCACATGCTGTATGGTTACTTAGATATTAAGAACAAAATCTACATTTAGTTTAATGCTTAAGTAAAATTTAAATTACTCTAGAGATGGGATCCTAAAAAATCTCCTCCGAAGCAAGACTTTGATCGCAAAGTAGCTGAAGCAGATGCTTACCTTCAATTGTTGATTGATCAAATAAAATTAATTGAAACAAAACAAAGATCTGTTGCTACAGAAGATGAAGAAAAGCAACAAAAATATACAGCAATTTTAACTCAAGCCAATGCAATGCTTAATTCAGTTAAACATACAATTGTTCAATTACAAATTGCAAAGGTAAATATTCATTATAAATATAAGACACCATATTAATAAATCTTTATAATTAAATTTTATACATTTAATAGAATTAGGTATAATTTGTGTGCAGTAAAAATTCTATACTTTTAGAATACAGCAATACCTGTAAATGGAGTATATAGGGGACCCACTGATTCAATACATGTTTCGTCTTCATTATCGCATGGTATGTATTTAAATGTGAGTATAAAATACACCTATAATGAAAGACATGCAATATAATAAATTTTAGTTGCTGTTAGAGAACCAGAAGCAACTGTACAGACTGGTATTGAATTAGGTTCTGAATGTGTAGAACTAAGAGTACCTACATTGCCAAATGGTAATTTATTTTTTCTTATTTATGTATACTAAATTAAAAATAAATGTCAAATTATTAAGTTATAGTATTCCTAAAAATAAAACCATCAATCAAGTAGACAAATGGTTTAAAATACATATTTTCATTGATTTTTACTTGTAAAGCTGTTGTGGATAGGGATCTCCCTGTACCCCAATTCTCTTATTCATCTTCGGATGAAGACGAAGATTATTATGATGCAGCAGACGAAATATCACCTCCTGCAATGCAAAATCATATCAGTATGTAAGTATTTATCAGGGTTCGTGAATCTTTAATATAAAATTTAAGAAATATGTGATATATTTTGTAATTCAGTAGAAGACGAGATAGTGAACGTTCACATGCGGATGTATCGAACGAAAATCGGAAGCAAAATCCGTTGCCACCTACAAAAGGTGATGGCTCTGTTGATTACGATGGTAAGTATTAATCTATGTTAAATGCTTAAAAGTTGATATGTTTCATATATTGTTTAACAAATATAAGATCAACTTTTTGTATACATTTCTTTTTTCTTAGGATATGATAACTGTATTTTATTTGTTTTCAGTTTTTTATTATACATATATTTATATATAATTTTAGTGTGTATATGTTTAAAATTAAGAAAGAAATTCAAATAAAGTTTATATAAATATTTAATCAAATTAAAAAAATGATAAAAACATTAAAATATGTTATAATTATTGTTAATTATTTATAACAAATATATCTATATTACAAATTCAGAGTAACAAATAAAACACAGCATAAAGCATATTCAAATTTTAAATAAGAAAGAAATTACATAAACATTAAAAATCCATAATAAATTGCATTCGTTATCGATAATAGAGGTTCGATATCAGTCGACTTAACCCACAACTACAATTATTATACACGTGAATTGTCGTGTCATCCGAACCTTGTAGTAAAGCATTATAAAATTTGTAGTTAAAATCAAGTGTGAATATTTTTTAGTATGACACAATTACAGAAAAATGAATTTAATCAACTTCGAATAGTTTTCCCCTCTTGGAAAATTTTGTTTCTCAGAAAAAGACGTTTATATTGCGTATAGTCAATATCATATAATGATCGTATTTAGGAATGGATTTTAACTGACATTTTATAAAAACACAATATGCTGGGTGCAGCTTCAAATAGTAAGTTTTTAAATTATAGTAAAATATATACATAACAAAAGAAATCTTTTTATATTTATGCGAAAATTTCTGTTCTTATAGGTTGTATTTTTTGAGTTTAAAGTTTTAAATTGGTATACATATTACAACTATTATTGACTTAAGAGAAACATTAAAACGAATTATATTAAAAAAAGAAATTACTTTTTTTCTCATTTTTTAAAACACTATACATTATTGTTTATAAATTATTGTTGTAAGCTTTTGTTACATGTTACAGCCCTTTATGAAGAGGAAAGTGAAACAGAAAGTTAGTAACTATTATATTAATAACATAAATTATTTAAATAAGATTAAATCCTTATCTTTATGGTACTTTTTAGTGGATTCCATGGAATCCCATGGATCCGTAGTGACTCATCTTCTATCTCAAGTAAAAATTGGTATGGATTTAACAAAAGTAGCATTACCTACATTCATTTTGGAGCGCAGGTCGCTTCTTGAAATGTATGCAGACTATTTTACTCATCCAAATCAGTTTGTAAGGTATATTCTATGAAATAAATAATATTAGTAATATTTTTCAAAATTATTTGTTGAAACTCTTTATACACTATAGTATTTCATATTTTAGCATAGCAGATATGTCTACTCCTAAAGATAGAATGGTTCAAGTAGTTCGTTGGTATTTATGCAGTTTCCATGCAGGTCGTAAATCAGGGGTAGCTAAGAAACCATATAATCCCATATTAGGTGAAATTTTTAGATGTCATTGGGATATTCCTAATGATGCTATAGATAGTTCTAATGATACAAAACTAGTTGTTGGAGGTCCTGTACCTTGGTGCAAAGAAAATCAGCTTTCATTTATTGCTGAACAAGTTTCTCATCATCCTCCCAGTAAGTTTACTTATATTTATTTATTAAAATCTTTTAAAAATATTTTTCTAGATAAATAAGCATGATTCGTATTATAGTAAGTGCATTTTATGCTGAACATTATGCAAAAAAGATTAGTTTTGGTGCGCATGTATGGACGAAAAGCAAATTCCTTGGACTGAGTATAGGAGTACATAATGTTGGAAAGGGTTGGGTAAATGTATTACAACATGGAGAAGAATATGTATTGACTTTCCCAAATGGTTATGGTAGATCTATTCTTACTGTACCATGGATAGAGTTAGGGGGGACTGCAACTATTCATTGTACACAAACTGGTTACCATGCTGCTGTAGAATTTTTGACAAAACCTTTTTATGGCGGTAAGCGTAATCGAATTACATGTCAAATTACACAACCAGGAGATAAGAAACCATTTGTTGTTATAAACGGAGAATGGAGTGGTGCCATGGAAGCAAAGTGGTCTGATGGAGTATGTACACAAGATGTTATGAAAGATACCAATTTCTCATTCTATTCTTTTTTCATTTATAAATTCAATTTTCATAGAGAACTGAAATTTTTGCGGACGTTAAAGAACTTTACACTCAAAGAAAGTTAGTGAAGCCAGTGTGTGAACAAGAAGAACACGAATCACGAAAAGTTTGGCGGGATGTAACTGTTGGATTAAGGATTAACGACATGGAAAAGGCAACAGCTGCTAAATGTACAATCGAACAAAAACAACGAGATGAAGCACGTAATAGAAAAGAAAACAATATTAATTGGCAAACTAAGGTACATTTTTCTTTCAAAATTACGTACTTTTTATTTCAAATGATTATATAAAGTCTTATCTTTTAATAGTTGTTCAAAGAAACTAAAGATGGTAGTTGGGTCTATGTAAAACCACTTGCAGACAGATTACATTCTTGTTCCAATCAAAGTGCTACAACATAAATGATTTGCTGCAGTTTTAGATATTGCACAGTACTAGAAATTTAAGGCCTAACACATATGATTCATAATATGTTTACTAATTTTAAATCTAATGACTCTGTGCTATGCAGAAGAACAAAACTGAAAGGTATTATAAATTCCTTCCTTAACATTTTTTTTTTTTTTTATATAAACCTGATTAAGTACAATAGCAAATATTTAAATACTATACAATATCAAGATTTCATTGAAAGGTACATATGTATTTTGATAGCAGGCAAATTATTTTTTATAATATATTATCACAGATATAATTACTGCTTTAAAGGAAACAAGTTTACATAGTATTGTGCTATATATTATATGTTGACATCGACATACAAGCTTATGTACTGTTAAAAAAATATATACAGCTATAAAAACAATATTTCTGATGATGATTTATCGTTTCTATTAAGAAGAATTGCAATACAGTTTTAGCATAACACAATACAAATAAAAGTTAAATATTAATTATGTAGTAATAGACCTAATGCATAAAGCATGCTTCTCTAATATGTTTTAGCTGTTTCCATAATATAGCATTAATGGAACATTAATGAAATTTAATTGCACGAATTTTTTTCATTCCATAATAATTATGTATGTTATTGAACTTTGGATATTTTTAAATAATTACTTCCAGATAGTATCCAACATGATTTAATTAATAAATTTAAAAAACGGACAACTGTACTCGTGATTGTAAAAATAATATGCATATATATGATGTACATTATATTTATGTACATAACTGTTTGTTCTTAATTTCCATGAAACACACACACACATACACACACAGAGCATTAATCATACATAATGTAAATATATATAAATCTCCCTCATAGCTTGTTATGTATAAGATTTTCCACATGTTTTAATTGTTTTTAAATTAACCACAGAGTATTAGAGTATCTCCATGAGATTAATTTCATTTAGTTATGTTACAGTGCTTAGATATTTATATTAAGTAAAATCGTGATTTATAATCATCCAAATTTTATTAACCATAGATAGCGCATTGTAAAATATTCCTATTCAATATAACATGTAATATATGAATAAATATATGTAAATTTTTGATAAAATAAAACTTTATTCATGCATCAAAATAACGCACACTCTTAATATAAATCAAAATTATGAAATTCTTAATTTCATTAAAAGGTTTAAAAGTAAATTAGAAATCATTTATTAAGAATCATCATTTATTTATAAAAAATTATTTATGAAATATTCAAAATTTGTTATATTTAAAAAACACAAAAGATATTTTTTATTATTAAGTATTGTCTGTAAAATTTTCTAGGCATATATGTCCAATATAATAATCAGTTACAGTTCTATGAAGTCGTGGAAATCGTTTTGTTGATGCTAATAAATGTTCCAAACCTGCTCTTATTACTGAAAAACTAACTTCACAATACGATTTATTTACAGAATCAATAATATTTTTGTCTGTTTCATATTTATATAATACTTTGACAACTGATATTCTTTGCAAAGTTACAATATTATCGTCTGACATTTCCTTAGGCTCAATCATTAAATTTAAGTGCCAATCCATTGGTTTTAAAATGAGAGACTGAATTTCTTTTCCTATAAAGCATTGCAAAATTATTTCTTCACCAATCATACCAATCATTGAAGTTTTAATAGCAAGTAAAAAATCATTAAAGGGATCTGTTGCAGTCTTACTTTGTGAGTTACTTAATAAATTGTAATCCACAGCACAATTCCATAATTTAAGTGAATTATCTGGAAGAATTTTCCCTAAATATTGTAAACATCTGTTACAAATCACAACATTTTCATCTATTTTTAAGTTGTGATTAAGTAAATTTGAATGAATGATGAAGAAAAGTGGCCCATAGAAAATCTCAGACTCTGATGGAATCAAATTATGCATAGTATTACTATGATTGTGTTTACAACAAAACCATTCGCTTGAATCATAATTCATATCTGGTAAAGGTAAAATCCTTTTAATATACATGTTTTTAGAAACAATGTTTTCGCAACAAGCACACATTATACGACATTTACCAGTATTAAATAACTCAGTAGTTTTAAAAGAATCATTCAAAGAATTAACATTGAATGCTGGATTGGTAATTATTTGCGTTTTAAAAGATCCAAATACAGGATCAGATATTGTTTGTACACGGAAACAAATCCAATTGCTTGTAACATTTAATGTTGATAATGAATCTGGTATTAACTTTACAAATTTTGTTAAAAATGTTTTTGTATTATTTTCTATAGTTATTTTTATACTTTCTTTCGAAAGCTTTACTGTAGCTCCTGTTGAATTTACTTTTTTCTTTAAATGAATAAAAACATTGCATATTTGAAGCCTAGGTCGTAGTTCTAATGTTATAGATTCTATCATATTGAAAATTTAAAAAATTAAATTGTAGTTTTTCAATTAGATAAAAATGTAAATAATTTCTCTTTCGCACTGATTCAAATTCAATCCAATATATATGACTCCATATATATGAATTCTCTTTTTTATATTTTAATTATATTTTGTTAAACCTAAAAATAGATTTTAAACTTGATTTTTTCTATTGTACAATTTATCTAAGGCATGTAACAAAATTCTAATAAGTTTACCTTCAAAATGGTTCCTTTTTGATATACAAGCAAATAAATCTTCTGAACCCAATGATCTTAATATATACTAAATTTAATTCTGTAGCTTATTAATACACCTAAAGGAATAAATTTTTATAAATTAGTGAAATATCATAAAATTAAGTGGAATATTATAATAAATAAAAGTATCAAAATTTATTACAAAATAAATAGAATTTACCAAAAAAATTTTGTCTACTATGGTTTTAGTCTGAGTCTAATTATTTTAAATCTTAATATTTTTAAATATTCCACGCGAATAAATAAACAATTACAATTCATAATGTAATTGTCTAGTATACCAACTTTTTTGTCCAGTATACCACGTGTTTCTTGGCAATCGCTGTATACGTACCTTGTCTTTCCAAATATTGCTTATTGTAAATTGGATCTTATCTCATGTAAGAAAATACACATTATTCCAGTTAATGCTTCGATTTGTTGAATAGAATCTATAAGTCCTTATACACGCATCTCGTAGATTAAAAATAACATAAAAAGAAAGGTGAGAGTAATCTGGAAGACACAATCACAAAAATTCAGAAATGAATCCTCCATCTTAGTTTATTTTACGACCGTAGTGTTACCTATTGGAAAAAATATTAACCAAAATATAACCTCACACAGCTCGTGTGAACGGTGTAAATTAAAAGTGACAACAAATTAAGATTAGTATCAACAAGCATGAGTATTTCCTCAAGATTATTGTGTCAAAAAACATGGAAAAAATTAACTTTTATAAAATTATTAGGTATTTTCTATTATCGTATTTTGCTTTACATATCATGAAAAATGTACTGTACTAATAATTAACAATTAACACACATTTTAAATATTTCTAAATAATTTACATTTTAGTTAGTACATATAAATATTACTATATATTATCATTTTTAGGTAAAGAACCTAAAGCTCTCTCAACCTTGGCACAACCAAAAGATGATAGAGTAGATGACGATAATGATTCCCAAACTCAACCTAATAATGAATCAACCAAATCTGAATCATTTACACATTACAGATTTATATATCCTGAATTTTTACCAGATCCTAATCCATTATATCGTCAGAGTATGAGAGAGAAATTAGAACGCATGGATATGTTGAGTAGAAGATCAGTAATAAGTATTCCTGAATTTTATGTTGGTTCAATATTAGCAGTAACTTATTCAGAACCACATGCAGTTGAAAAACTAAATAGATTTGTTGGTATATGTATATTAAGAGAGGGCTGTGGTTTAAGAAGTTCATTTCTTTTAAGAAATGTTGTTAACGGGGAAGGTGTGGAAGTACGTTATGATTTATATGATCCTGCTATTCAGAAAATTGATTGTTTGAGGTAAATACTAATTAATGAAATGTAATTAGAACTTGGAATAAAAACTTCCTTTTATTTGCAGGTTAGAAAGAAGATTAGACGATGAATTACTTTACCTCAGAGATGCACCATTAGAATATAGTACATTTCCTTTTGATATGGAAATAGAAACAACAGTTTCACAATCTGTCCCATTAAATGATATTAAAGTCCCTCTTAAGCCATTACCTTGGTCAGAGAAATGGGAACGTAAAAATTTAAAAGGAATTAAAGATATAGTTGTTAATGAAAGACGTCGAAAAAAGGCAGCAGCTCTCGCTAAACCATGGGAGAAATATGATTTGATGAAAACCTACAGGTAAAATCGAATATTATCACTAAAATAATGTTTACTATTTTAAAGAAAATGTATTCAAATATATTTTGTTTCAATAGGGAGACCATCCCAGAAGAGGAACAAAATGAAATATTTTCAGATGTACATACAGAACTTCGTCACTTAGAAATACAGAAGACTATATTAAAACGCAAATATATGTTACAAAGAAGTAAACCAACTTCATAAATATTTTTTAAAATTATTAATAAAAATTTGTTTTCCAATTATGTGTTATCTGTATATTAAAAAGAGGTGTAATGTACATATTTTTCTTACATAGGTCCTAATTATTTGTAAAAATATAGATCATATATAATTTATAAACATACATATTGCTCATTTTTGTTGAAATAACAACTTCATTTGGATATGTTTCATACTGAAAGTTCTAAAAAATTTCGTTAATAATACATTCTTCTGTTTTATTAGGAAGTGAAAAATATACAATAGAAATTATAAAAATTTCAATGACTACACATTCTTTGAACATTCTTATCTGACGTATAAGGGAACAATTACTTTTTTGCATATCATGGTATTCATGATATTAAAGATAAATATGCAAACGTGAAATTAGCTAGTTAATAATGCCACATTGATTTCTTTAACCATTTTAATGCGATATAACATTTTTATGAGATGTTCCTTAGCCAATGGAGATGTTGAATACCATACTGGACTGTCCGGTACACAACTTCTTTCTGGCAATAAGTAGAATACATCGTTCCGAGTCTTAACACTTTCTGGACTAAAATAACAGTACAGAATTAACATAACTATTATATTTTTTATTTATAATGTTTATTTATGAAATAAGAAAATAAATAAATAGACGTACCATTTAGACAAGTAAAACTCATATAATTTGACTGGACATCTTAATGGATTTTCTTCATTTTCCTGTTGCTCATATACTTTCTTTTTACGTGAATTACCTTCTGAAAAAAGATTAAGGCCTTAGAGTGTTATTACTTTTTGACTATTGGGATGCCCGGAAAGTTCGTGCCGATATTCGATAGGTGGTATTAGGACATGTCTGAATATATTAGAATGATTGAAAACTAATGACATGTGTACATATCCTAAAAGGTGATGTTTCAAACACCTTTAGAAAAAAGTTTGATTAGGATACATTAACTTTTGTTAGTTTTAGCGCTCTTAAATATGGAAGGAAACAAAGTGCATTGTAGGCATTTGATGCTTTTCTTCTACCGGAAAGGCAAAAATGCCACACAAACAGCAAACAAGATATGCGCTGTTTATGGTGACGATGCTATAGCTGACAGAACTGTGCGGAAATGGTTTGCTAGGTTTAAAGTTGGTGATTTCAACCTTGAAGATCAAGAACGCCCGGGTAGGCCCTCCACCACTGATGAAGATCAGGTCAAAATACTAGTCGAGAATAATCCATGCTATACGATACGTGAATTAGCAAAAATATTAAAAATATCAAGGTCCACCATCCATGAGCATTTTGTGAAGCTTGGCTATATAAACCGTTTTGATGTATGGATTCTTCACGATTTAATGGAAAGAAATCTACTAATGGATCGCATTTCCATTTGCAACTCGCTCTATAAACACAATGAGGAGACATCATTTTTGAAGCAAGTAGCGACGGGGAATGAAAAATGGATTATTTATAACAATGTTGAGAAGAAAAGATCTCGGGGATGGCGGAATGAATCACCTTTAGCCATCCCAGAAGCCAGTCTTCATCCGAAAAGGTCATGCTCTGTGTCTGATGAAGGGAATCTTGTATTATGAGCTTCTACCAAGCAACCAAACGATAAATTCGGAAAAGTGTTACTCGCAATTAGACGAGTTAAAGACAGCAATTGAAGAAAAACGTTCAGAATTTGCAAATCAAAAGGGCGTCGTGTTTCATCGGGACAAAACGCGGCCTCATGTATCTCTAACTACTCGACAAAAGCTGTTGGAGCTTGGTTGGGATGTGCTACCCCACCCACCATATTCACCAGACATTGCACCCTCAGATTTTCACCTATTTAGGTCATTACAAAATTCCCTTAATGGTAAAAACTTTACCTCTTTGGTCAACATAAAAAATCATATTGAAAATTTTTTCACCGAAAAATCTGAAAGGTTCTGGGAGGATAGAATATTCAAGTTGCATGAAAGATCGAGAAAGGTTGTGGAACAAAATGGCACCTATATAATTCAATAAATGTATATTGAAATTTAAATGTGCTGTGTTTGAATCTTCCTTAAAAATCGGAACAAACTTTCCGAGAGACTCAATATATAAATTGTTTGATACTCACCCAATGCTGATTGTGGTGGATAGAAACGAAGAAGAACGTTTCTGGAACCTGGAACTTTTCCTGCTCCTGTAGTAAGTTGTGCAGCTGGATTACGTTTCCAATGTTTCATGATGTGAGAAAATGATAATTGCATATGTTCTTCTACTGTCTAAATGATATTAAATTTTAAGTATTTTAAAACAAATGTTAGTATTTATATAATAAATCAAAATAATTTATACGTACTACAAGATTAAAATGTTTAGTGTTAAAGAACATTAGAGTATTTAAAAGGACATGAGGAGAATGAGCACCTAATTGCTTACATTCCCATAAATGTTCTTCTTCAACTCTTGTTACAATATATTCTACGAAAAATTGATATTTTATTTACAATATAATTTTCTACATAGATATTAAAAGCAAAAGTTAACTTACGTGCATCATTATAAAGAACAGAAAATTTCTTTGCAACTTCATTTAAACAATCAGTAAATCTTTCGTAATATGAATCTGTGAAAATATTGTCTATTCTATTATTTTCAAATAAATACTGTTGAATTCCTGTAATATAAAATAATTATAAATAATTATAAACTTCTTTCAATTAATATATGTGACGAACTTAGTTACCTAAACAGAGATAATATATTGTATCAGGAGCATATTCTGCTCCATTTGGTTTTTTAACTTCTTTCACGAAAAGGCATAATGAATAATTTAATTCGTCAGCTGTGAGTTGCAAAAGATCTGTTTTAAATAATTTCATTTTTCTAATTGGTGTACTTTGTTTTTCTAATTCAGCATTTTTTGTAACTACCTATATTTTAAAAAAATTTTTAATTTTTAATATCCATATTTTCAATCGAAATTGAGATCGAAAATACGATATATCTAAATTACCCATTGTCTCCAAGCATTTACTCCAAAAGTATATTTGAGAGCCATATTGGCATCTGGTTTTTCTATGGGTTCTATTATTCTCGGTTGAGGTGGAGGTTGAGGTTCTGGGGGTGGCATCAAAGGCATATCATTTGTGCTAGATACGCGCCTTCCTCGTTTATTTGGTGTAGATCGTGGTTTATATGGAACCATTCGTTTCCTTCCCCGAGAGGGAACAATAAGCCGTTCCGATTGAACTGAATATTAAATAATCGTTTCATTATTAATTATCTTTTCCATCTACTTACTATATATATATATATATATATATATATATATTGCACACTCCCATTACCATCATTTTCTATAGTTGTGTCAGATTGTGTCGGTGCTTGTGTAGCAGTAATAGTATTTGGAGTTAAAGCAGCTTCTAAGTCAACAGCTGGCTCATCCAATTCTCCAGTTGCCATTTTCAAAGCCATTTGTAACATGTCATCGCCAAATGTATTACTAGAATCAACACCTTCTGGACTGAAAACTCCACTATGTGAATGATCACGGTCGCCAGTATCTTCATCTCTGTAAGAACAGTAGAGGAGAAAAACAGAAAAAATGCTTTAATAACAACCACTGATAGTAAAGTTACCTATCATCTGTAGAATCCGAGTCAGTCTCATTAGCTTTTTTCTCTGTCGCAACCATTTCTGCCATCATGAGAAGTTCAGCTTCAAAAGGATCTGCTGGTATTTTTTCCTGTATTCTTTTGATTTCTTTAAATATTCCCTTAGCACTATTTCTTGTTGTAGGTATAAAGATAGGAACAGGAATTGGTAATGGAAAAGGTAATGGAACTGGAAAAGGCATAGTATACATATGCATTGGAAATGGAACATAAATTGGAACTGGTATCGGTATAACTGCTTGGTGAATCCCATCTGTTTGTGAAGCTTTTGTGCAAGGATGTGGACGTACTGAAACTCCTTTTGTGTGCATCACAGGTTTACACTGAGTTGTTTTATTGTGAATTTGGATTGGACTTGGTGGTCTTGTTATAATATGTTGTTTATAAATTACTTGCTGTGTTTGATTTTGGCTGATAGCAACTGAAGGTACTAACATGTTATTTACACTGTTTTGTTGAGTTGTTGGACTGGATTGACCATTTCCAATTGTGGCTAAACTTGTCACAGAAGAAATTACAGGCATATTCTTTTTGTTTTGTATATCATTAACTTTTTGATTATTGGAATTTGTGTTTCTCTGAGGTAACGTTCTTTTGGGCATGCCAGTAGGTACAGGATCATCGCCAGTTGGTATCGTAATCGGAGATTTGGTATACTGAGCTTGAAAATTCATTACACAATGATAAGAACAAAAATTTCGTATTGTTGCATCTGACATTGTTAAATGATATTGTGCTTGCGAAAATTCTTTACAAAAGTCACAGTTTATTCGTTTTGCTGAAACTGCGTTGATAGAAACCTATATACAATTAAAATTAAGTAACATCAGTCTTACATGTAGTACTATTTGAAGCAAAAAAAAATATGTGACCATTTTATACCTGATATAATGTTAAGCAATTTAAACTGCACATCATCATTACTTGACATGTTTTTAGTTCCTTTTTAATCATGTCAAAATTATATTTTTTTACTTTGCACCAATTACAAGGAACAATTTTCCTATTGGTAATAATAAATACATTTAAACAAGTTTTAGAACAAAATGTATGAGCTTCATTCTCATAAAACACAACAGAACTTTTTTTGTTAGGTAACTCAAAAAATTTTTTGCAGGTAGAACACTGGTCAGGATCAACCTTTTTCACAAATTTGAATGCTGCAAAACATGGTTCACTACATATAGCTACTGGATCAGATCTGTCTATTTGAACCTCACAATGAACAATTTTTTCCTGTTGTAAAGAATAAAGCTTTAATTTAGAAAGTTTCTATTGAATTCGTATTGAAAATACAAATACAAAAAAATGACTACTTACTTCTTGGCAAACGCTGCAGCATTTTTTTTCTATGTTTGGAGGTTCAACAGAGCTCATTTTTGAATATTTTTCCATACAA